TTTGGATCCCTCTACTGGGTTTGGATGAGCCTGGGTGGGCCCAAGTTAAACACCACTGTCTAGTCTTACTCTCCTGGGTAGATTTGCAAGCCCAGGAAAGATTCTGTTATTCTCTAGCTTTTTTCTGGTGGCTAGTAGTCTCAGTTACTCAGTGCACTGGTGTTCAGTGTCCCTGTTTACATGGTACTCGTTTTGTTTTTAAACTACAGTCATCCCCCACTTATCGCAGCTAATCCATTCCATACTCTAGCAGTTGCTCCTGGCATTGAAGGATTCCTGGAGTGCTCAAATACATAGGCCTACAGTCCATACATACAGTAATTTTCATTTTAATTGTAATACAGGGGCGTATAATTGACTCAGACAACCGATCACATGCTGTATCATTTTCATTGTCTTGATCAACTTTTTAATGAATATATTTGAAAAAACTGCAATTGAGTGAAGCCCCAAAAGTCTAAGCACAAAGTGGCGAGGGACGACTGTATATGCAGCTAAAGCAAATCCTTAGCAATCCATGATGCTTCTCTAATCTTTCCACTCTGGGGCAGACTGTGAAGGCTTTTCCAAACAGCAGAATCCTAAGCAGCTACTATCACACAGCAAGTGATGTTCACCACCCTGGTGATGAGTCTTCATCATGACGATGACATTTTTGTATTCACAATATAAAGATCGTGATGTCCAAGCTGACTTTATTATCTGACTTTTAAAGAATTCCAGAACAAGCGACATTTTTAAATTGCATTGTCAGCATTTTTAAAGGTCCAGTTTCCTCCCCCAGACGTGTTAAATCGTGTCAATGCAGCAGTCACTACACTGGCACTGGAGATATCAAATAAGCCAGCTGCTACCTGAATCCATTCAGCACAGTTCATTCAAATGACTCATGAATCCCTTCTCCAGTCTAAATAAAACCTTAATTTCTAACTTGAATTTCTGAGGTATTGTGGCAAGGATGGGGGTGGGCAACAGTAAAATTAGATGGTCTTTGCTTTCCAAAATGCCTCTGCTGGATGGGGGTTGAAGGAGTGGAAGTTATAAAAGCCAGTAGGGGAAAATGGTCACCACTAACCTGCACTTCTAAGACACCTTTTAGCCCGGCCAGTGTGGCTCAGTGGGTTGAGCATCGTCCCATGGACTGAGAGGTTCTGGTTCAATTCCCATTCAGGGCACATGCTCGGGTTGTGGGCTCAGTCCCTGAGGGGGGTGTGCAGGAGGCAGCGGACCAATGTCTCTCTTTCACATTGATGTTTCTATCTCCCTCTCCCTCCAAAAAATTAATAAAAACATTTAAAAAAATAAGACACCTTTTAGTGTGGTATATTTCTAAATATCATTTTATTTTATAGGAGGTTGTTGTTGTAGCATATGCAGAATTATCAACCTGCCCTTGCTCCTTCTAAGTCTGTAAATCTGGGGATATTTACTTTGCTGCTGACTTCAAAGCCCTCACTCAATCATGCAACTCTCTGCTACTTGGAGATGCATCCTCATGCCTTCACCACGTTAAAGGGTCTGATAAATCCTACAGTCAAGAATGCTGTTTAACTCCGATCCCCCAGTACCACCTAGGGTCAAGTTATCATGGCACAAAGCTGACTTAAAGGAAAACAAAGTAGAAAGAGTGGGGGCAGGTTGCCTCCAAGTTGTCCCCAAGAGTTCTCTAATGCCAGAATTGGCCAGAGTGACACTCCCTAAAGTGCAGTTTGCTTGTTAACGTACCATCTCTGATGTTCTATCAGGATAGGACATCGCAGCAATCCAGTTTGTCTTTGTGGTGATATCCCTGATGTTGAAAAAGACCTGACCTCTGCCTGAAGACTTCTTTACATTCACTACACTCACAGGGTTTTTCTTCATTGCAAATTCGCACGTGCTGTGAAAGGTGTGAGTTTAGTCGGAAGGCTTTCTGGCATATATTACACTTGAAGGGTTTTTCTCCAGTGTGAATCCTGTGATGTCAAATCAGGTCTGAAAAACTGAAGGCCTTCCCACACTCCTGACACTGCTGACTTCTGGAGTGGCTTTGGATTCTCTGGTGGTGGATGAGAAGCAGGGCTTGACTAAAGGTTTTTCCACACTTCGTGCACTCATAGGGCTCCTCCTGATTGTGAATTCTCTGGTGTCAATTAAGGTGAGAGCTGTGCTGAAAGTTCTTTCCACAGTGGATACACAGAAAAGGTTTCTCTCCAGTATGGACTCTGAGATGTTCCAAAGGCCTGCATTCTGGCTAAATACTTTCCCACACTCACTGCATTAAAGTCAATATCAGAATTAACTAAGAGGATATCGGTATTTATAACTCAACTCATTTACTGATTGTCTACTATGAGCAAACGCTTAGTTGCCAGGAATACAGAGATAGACACAGCTCCCGGCCTCCACCGCTCACTGCTTCTCAAGAGGTTGTAGTGAACGAGCAGTCCCAGTGCAGTGCATTTAGTGCCACAACAAAAGGACTCACAAGGTGTGAGCAGGGCACATGCTGAAGCACTATTCTCAGTAAGCGATCAAGAAAGGCTTCCTGGAGGCAAGTTCTTCTGGGTCTTAAAAGACAAATGAAAGTAAGGCAGACAAGAAAATAGAGAAAAGGTGTTTCAGACAGGGCAAACGTTGGGCACAGAGCTATTGGAGAAAGTCGGGCAAAGTCAGGATAGTGCAATAGTCTTCTGTGGCTGGAGTGCTAGGAAACTCCTAGGTGTGGAGGAGAGGTGAAACGGTACAGCTGATGAGGCTGCAGGAGCACAAGGACAGCCAGAAGACCAAGGAGATCCATTTCTGTAAATGATCTGATCCAGCCCTGTCACTTGCAAGCAGTGTGACCTGGGAAAACTTATCCTCTTGGAGACTTAGTTCACTCATTTGTAAGATGAAGATTATACCTAATTCACAGAGATGTTGTGAGGTGAATGAGATCACTGTAAAGCGTACAACACTGATTTATCACTGGAATTATAAAAAGGCAGAGCTCAAGAGTGTGAAATACTACAGGAAGGTGGACTAATCGAAGACCTGACAGATGCTCAAATATTACCTTCTAAGGCTTAATACCTATGAAATCGCGCTCAATGCATGGAAAGCGGCAGCCGGTGGTGTACAGGGAACGCGATCCGAAGTCCCACTGCCGCACAAACGCCCAGGACAGTCCGACCGAGTTTCGAAGGCTTCTCAGCGCTGGAAGGGAACAAGCTGCTCGCCCATCCTTGCCACGCCTCCTCCCCAGCCGGAAGCACAGTCACCGCCCACTCACCGGAGATCCGCAGGAGGAACCCAAAGCTCACCCCACTGTCTGCGCTCCACAAGCGGCGCCGCCCGCCCGGGCGCTCACAGGTGGCTGCTCTAGGCACGCCGAGGATCCCGGCCGAAGGGTGTCCTGAGTCCTTTTGAGAGCTCTGGGGCTCGTGGCTGGGACCACGTTAGGTATTTTTTCACTTTTTCTTTTTAAATATATTTGTATTGTTTTTTAAGAGAAAGAGGAAAGGAGAGGACAGAACATTCATGAGAGAACATCCATTGGCTGCCTCCTACATGACCCAAGCCCGCAACCCCATCAGGTTCCCTAACCCGGAATTCTGCTGGTGACCTTCGGTGCATGGGATGATGCTCAGTCCCACTAAGCCACACCAGTTGGGCTGTTTTTTTTTCACTTTTAAGCTGAAATTTATTTCATTCACGTGAAACCATGCCAACTCAGTTTACTGATATTACCAACAGCTGGCACTTCCACTTTGTTCGCTCACATTACTAAAACAGACACATGGTTTACCATTGCTCCCAAATTTTAAAAGCCATCAAACCCATTCAGCACATGTACTCTCTATTCTATACATATTTTTTAAATCATTCAAAACTGTAGTGGGCCCAGCTGGTGTGGCTCAGTGGTTGAACAATGACCCATGCACCAAGAGGTCACCGGTTCGATTCTCAGTCAGGCACATGCCCAGGTTGTGGGCCAAATCCCCAGTGCCGGGCATGCACGAGGTGGCCAATGTTCTTGCTCATCCATGTTTCTCTCTCTCTCCTCCTCTTCCTCTCTCTAAAATCAATAAAGAAAAAAATTATAAAAACTGTAGTTGCCTATCCCCCCTTCCTGATATTACACTGATTATCATTCGAGTATCCTTTCCCCATGTAGCTCATAAGCTGACCAAACCCACAGCTCCAGGATTAGGCCATTCTATTTCCCTGGCAACAATATCTTTTTATGAGGATGGACATGTGACCTAAATTAACCCAATTGGGCTGATTCTCAGGACTGTTTGCAATGCCAAGACAAAAATGTTCTTTCTCTTTTCAGAGGTGGACCAGGAAATATTTAACCTAACTTGAGAGCTTTGGCAGACCTTTTTTTACTTGAGAGAAATCACCCTGATGAGGAAAATGACCCATGAAGAATAAAAAGGAAAGAAGCCAAACTCCTATTAAAGCCACACAGTAAACCCATTCTCCTGCTCTTTTGTAATGAGTCAGTAAATCTCTATTTTTAACTCAGTCTGTTAAATGGAACCAGAAGTATCTAATCAATTGAATTCTTCTTCTTCTTCTTTTTTTTTTTTTTTTTTTTGCTGTTTTTCTGGTTCCCCCTGGGGCAAATAAATGGCCCCATTAGGCAATGAAGCCCTCAAAGAGAAAAATGTCAGGGCAACAGAGGAAAAATACCCTCCAGGTTAATACCTCCAATCTTTATTCTGCAACAGTATGTTTGCATGTACAAAAAAATTATGGACAGATATAGAAGACACCAAAAAGAGATTTCTTGGGGAAGGACTAGGGACTTGAGTGAAAGCCTCACATTTTACTGACACTCCTGTATGTAGTGTTTGAATATTTTTAAAACTGTGTGCATATATTACTTTTTAAGGTAAAAATAAAATAAAAAAATTGGTAGAGATCTCAAAAAACATCTTTTTCTTGAAGGGCTTACAAACATAGTAGGTACAGTAGCACTATAAAGCCTTTTAATACTATTTGGTCATATACAATTGTTGTTCAAAGTCCTGCAAAACAAAAATTCCTATTTGTCATCTTTCCCTTTTGTCTTTCTGTACACCATCTCTCGGAAACTGGCCAGAATGTTATTTTCTCTCTTCCTTCTCTCTTCTTGGTTAAAGGACGCAAGGGCTCTCTTCTCATCTGCGCTATAGATCTGGTTCTCTTTACGCAGCCGTACAGCCTCCATTCTTCGATGCCTGCTACCACTCATAACATAACCTGAACATTCAAATGAAGCAATCTCTTCACTTGTCAGCCCAATTTCACCTCTTCGTGGGATACGCTTTCCAGCTTTTACATACTCAGCCATAGCTGCACCCTCACCAGGGAGCAAAGCATGGCCATATTTCAATGGTTTCTCATCTTGAGAGGTGAGTATTACAGGTGCTTCTGGACCTATTAGATCCATGGTATCTGCAATCTTTGAGTGTTTAATCCAGATATCTTCTGGCAACTCCCCTTCCGAATCTTTATAGCTTAAGTCAATGGATTCTTTTTTAGTCTTCTTTTTCTTTTCTTTTGTTTTCCCTCCTCTGTACTTCTTTTTCTTCTCTCTGTTCTTGGCTTTTTTGGTTCTCTTTTCCCCATCATCAGAGCTAGCATTCGTGTCAGAGTCTGATTCACTGTCACTATTATCATATTTCTTATATTTTCTTTTGGACTTTTTCTTTCTCTTTTTCTTGTTTTTTGAATGCCTGATCTTTTTCCTTTTTTCGTCGGAGCTTAAATCCGAACTGGTCTTCTGAGTTTTTACCTCCTCATTTTCAAATGGGGTGTGTTCATCAGAATCTGGCTCAGGATACTTTGGAGACAGCCCCCACACCTCAGGAGCACCCAACTCCCCGATCCTCTCCCTCCCTTTCATCTTCCTCTGCCGATAGCTCTCCTCCTCCATCTCGTAGTCTTGGGCACACTGCAAGTCACCTGCATAGTGGTGGTGATGGTATCGGTGTCCACCGCAGTACTTGGAAGAAAAGGACGAGAAGGCGTAGTTGCTGAACCGGGGGAATGGCTCCTGAGACCTGGGCCCGCTATTGGGGGGAAGAGTGCCCGCCAACGGACTCCACGGAGGCTTGAGGCCCTCATGGCCCTGGGGGTGACTGAGGGAACGGCTGCTCCTCGATGAGCTGCATCGCTGACTCCGGGAGCCCGAGGTGTCCTCAGAAGGGCGGGTCCGGGACACTAGCGCCATGGGCCGCACTCTCACTGGCGACCACTGGTCAACGCCACCCCTCACCACAGGTAACGTGGTGGCCAAGGCCTCCCGCTTGCGCATGCGCACCAGCCGCAATCCCACGCGGCTTCCGCTTCCTGCCGGTTGCCAGGAGAAAGCCCAACCTGCGCGTGGGCCGTGAGGCGCCGGTTTGTGCCCAGGCCGTGGGAGGTGGTGGTCCCGAGTGGGTGGAGGGCACGGCCGAGCCTGTAGTTGGGCTTCCCCAAGCTGGGCCCCGTGGGAACAGAAGAGGGATTTGTGCCCCTGAGTCCCTCTGCCGTTCAAACGTTTCCTCTCGGATATTTGCCGCTTTTCCTCTTGACGCTCCTCCGTCCACCTCCGCCCTCTTCAGGGCCCCCAGACTCCAGCCCCCGGCTCATCGGCGGGGAGGATAAACAGCCTTCATGGCGGGAAGACCTAGGTTAGGACGCCCGATCCCGCGCGTTCCTGCTGGAAGCAAGAACCGGAACTTCTCTTGGAGTCAAAGTCTGGTCTCGGCCTCTTTGCCAAGTGAGAGCTTTCCTTAAATTCGCAGGCTTTTCTGCTCAGAAACAGCGACGCATCCAACTCGGCCTTGCAGGTGGCTCCTTATCGGGAACCAATTGCCCACACGCTTGTTCACTCCCTGAAATGGCAAACATTTCACACAAGATCACTTCCACGGCTGCTGTGTGGCGTCTGCAGATGCTTCGGCGGAGCGACGCGCACGGCTTTGCTGCCTCGAACGTGGTTAGGCCGGGAGTCCCAGAAGAGTGCTCCTTCCCCGTGCTTCGGCCCGAAGGGGAGGGGCGAGGATGCTGCGGGCGCGGCGCGGGCGCCGGGCTGACACCTCCCCAAACCCGCGCCCGGCGGTGTTTCTCGGAAAAGGAAGGTCCTTTTGCCCGGATGGAGCTCCAAGGGCTCTGGGGAGCTCGGCTTCCTCCTGAATGTGTGTCGATCTTGTGCCAGCTCTTTAGTCAAACTAATGTCCGAGCTCTGGGGACCCCAGCGGAAGCCTTACAGTGCCTGTCACCCTTTCTCTTCCCCTATTGCCTCCGAGAGTGGAGATAAGGACGTGGCAGTTAGGGGGTTAATTCGGGAAAAGCCACCGAGAGGTGCTTCCTAGAGAGCCCGGCCAGGCGGCTCCCACCAGGCCTCAGTTTCTCTGGGTCTTCAGCCGCGCGGCCCTGGAACTCCGGTCGGGTGCAGAGGACCAGGGTGCAAGGCGCGACTACAGGGAGAAACCAGTGCGGCTGCGCCCAGGGGTGTCCTTGCTGTTTAATTGGCCGACAGCGACTTCCCACTTCAGGAATCTGCGGAAACCGCTCCAGCTGCAGGGAGGCCCGAGTGCGGCCCGGGCCCAGGATGGCGAGAGAGGCGGGGGAGAGCGCGGCCCTGGACGACCCGTCGGCCGAGGCCCTCACGGGGATCCTGGCGGTGAAGGTGGAGGACGGCGAGGCCCCAGGGGCCGAGCGCTCCCGCCAGCGCTTCCGCGGCTTCCGCTACCCCGCAGCCGGGGGCCCCCGATGGGCGCTGAGCCGGCTCCGCGAGCTCTGCTGGCTGTGGCTGCGGCCTGAGGTGCACAGCAAGGAGCAGATGCTGGAGCTGCTGGTGCTGGAGCAGTTCCTGAGCATCCTGCCCGCGGAGCTGCAGGCCCAGGTGCGGGAGCAGCACCCGCAGAGTGGGGAGGAGGCCGTGTTGCTGTTGGAGTACCTGCAGAGGCAGCTGGAGGAGCCTGTGTCACAGGTAGAGGGCAGGTTCAGCGTGTGAGAGCCTGGTCAGTCTCCTCCTGAAATCTCACGAGCCCAGTGTGGGGCATTCCTTTAAGATCCCGAGTTCACAGTCTCTTTGTGCACCGTGAACCTCTGCAGTAAGGTGAAGTCCCTGGGCCCCTTCTCATAATAATTTTTTTCATAATATTTTAAAATATATAAACGATTAAAAAATGACTCAATTATATTGAAACAGCAGGGCATTAAACACATTTGTGACAAAGTTATGTATGTGCTTTTAAAGATTAACGCACTGAATAGTAAGATCTAGGGACAGGCCTGATGACTGGTTACAAGCATGAGCGACTTGGACAGCCTTGGCCTGGTTGTAGTGTGATGTGAAGACACCAGCAATTCCTGTTGCAAATTCCTGGGTGTGCTTATTCCACTTGGCTTTGCTGCCTCCATATATAATGGAAGGAAATGCTGAATCTCTCTTAGAGACCAGTACAAATACAAATGTGTATTTTTTGTTTTTCTCTATTTACACTCATGGACTATTTGGGAGGGAGTGCCCTCTAGCGCTCTAATAGTAGAAAATCATTTCTAGCCACTCATCTTCAGGCTATTAATTTTTTTTTTCTTTATTGATTTTTAGAGAGAGAGATAGAAACATTGCTGAGAGACAACATCGTTTGTGGCCTCCTGCATGTCCCCTACTGGGGATCGGGCCCACAACCTGGGCATGTGCCCTGACTGGAATCCAACCGGTGACCTCTTGGTGCGTGAGTTGATGCTTAACCACTGAGCCACACCAGTTGGGCATTAAGACTATTCACTCCTCACAGAGGATGTGGGGAATTCTGAGCTGCACCTCAGAAAGTAACTTGGAAACTGACTTAGCTATAAATGTCTGGAGGGAAGCCTGCAATCCACCAGGACATACCATGTGCAGGGCCTGTGTAAGGTGATTTCACATACTGTGACCTTATTTACTGGTCCCCAAGCCCTGTAAGCTAGAAATTATTATCCTAATTTTTCAAGGAAGAGAAGATATATTCTCTGAGAACTTAGGCCCAGTTACCAAAGAGTTTTCATGAAAGCACAAAGTGTGATGAGGAAGCACAGAGGATGGTCAGGAGCATGGGCTCCGGAGTCACTCCCCTGAGTGCCCACTGGAGCACTGACACTGAGTAGCTGGGTGACCTGGGCAAGTTACATAAACTCTGTACCTCAGTTTCCCCATTACAAATATAAAGATAATAATAGTACTAGCTTATAGGGTTGTTATCTGTGTCAAGTGAGTTAATACTTTTAAAGCTCACAGAAATAGTGCCTGGAAAAGATAAAGTCATAGTACACAGGGAGCACGATAGAAGTGTTTGATGAATAAATAAATGAATGACTTTTAGGTCCCAGGTGGTGACCAGGGGCAACTGCTCTGTTGCAAGATGGCAGTGTTGACACCAGCCCTGAGGTCACAAAGTAGCCAGTTCCAGCCGATGAAGGTTCTGCTCAAGCATGAATCCGTGGGATCCCAGCCCTTACCAAACAGAGGTGAAGATTATCTTCTGGGCAGTAGGAATTCTGCCACCTTCATCCAGTTTCACTTAAGGGTTACCTAAAAAAACAGATCTGTTGACTATGCTTTATATGCCCATCACAGATCTACTTTAATTTGAGACAGATTAAAAAGGGAAATTTCAAACAATAATGGAAGGCTTTTCTAACCAAATATGGACATAATAAATAAGACTTTATTAAAAGTTGTATTTGGAAAGAGTTGATTTTTTGTTGTTGTTAATCCTCATCCAAGCATACTTTCTCCATTGGTTTTTAGATAGAGTGGAGGAGAGGGAGAGAGGGAGAGAAACATTGATGTGAGAGACACATGGATTGGTTGCCTCCCGCATGCGCCCTGACCGGGACTGAGAATCAAACCCCCAACTCTTTAGTGCATATGCCCATGTTCAAACCACTGACTCATCCCAGCCAGAGTGATTTCTTTTTTCTTAATATGTTTTTTTTAATTGATTCTGGAGAGGAAGGGAGGAGGAGAGACATAAATGTCAATGTGTGAACCTCAATCGGTTGCTTCCTCTGGGGACCAAACTCCCACCCTGGGCATGTTCCCTGACTGGGAATCAAACCAGAGACCTTTGGGTGCATGGGATGACATTTCAACCAACTGAGCCACAACGGCCAGGGCAAGAATTGATTTCTTAACAACACAGTGACCTCCGTTCACTTAACGTATATTTATGGAAGTCCCTGTGTGGTAGCCAGTGTAGTAGGCACCAGGGACAGAGTAGTCAGTGAGACTGAGATTTTCATTGCAATGGAGCTTACAGCTTAGTAAGGAAAATAGCATATAAATGAATAATACAATTTTAGATACTGGTAAATGCTATGAAGAAAATAAAGCAGGATCTGTAAAGCCAGCCAGAACATACCAGAACTGCTGCAAATAGAAGGGTTACATCTTCCAAACCCTGGTCTGCAACTGGAACAGGCTAAACATCACTCAGTAGGAAACTACTTGAGGGTCCCCCTGCGCTGGGAACAATGAGGCAGGTTCCCAAGACATATGCACAGCACTGGGACATTCCTGTCAATGTGCAGTCTTCATTTCTCAGCAGAGGTTCTAGCCCAATCTAGCCTGTTTCCTGCCCCTTGCAAAGTTCATCTCTTATAGGTGAATCTGAATTTTCCCTTTACTTCTCTCAGAGTTCTATATAAGCAGATTCCCATTTTGTCCTTTATGAGAGAAGCCATATCTTACTCATTTTTTTAAACTAAAGCAGAAAGCACCTAAGAGCTACTACAGCAATGTTAACAATAACAAAAATCCTCCTTTCCCTTCTTAGCAAAATCAAGCTAAGTGATCTTACAATGGAAGGCTTTGTTCTGTTTCTATGTTGTTTTCATTACATCATTCCTACCAAGGATCCTCGATTTTGTGTATCTACAGAGACAGCAGATCTCAGTGGACTCTAGGACAGGAGCTGGGAGGGGTCGGGATTTTGGAAAGGAGCATACTGTATAAGCTCTTGGGCAGGAATGTTTGAGCTTGGACTCCACGGGCGGGGAGGCTGCATGTGAGGGCATATCTCATCCAGAGCTCTCCTCCTCAGCTCTGCAGGTTCCTGGGCTTGCCCTGGGAGGGGGCTGCATAGAAGACACAGTGGTGGCTGCCAGGCTCACCCCAGAGTCCCAGGTGAGCTGGAGCCCTCCCTCCCAGCACCAGCATCCCTCCCTGCTGGGCTCCTGGTTAAATCCCTTCTCCTCACATGTCCTCCACCCCCGCAGGTCCGTAAGGGGTTTGAGTTTTCTCCTTTATCCCATGGTTGCTTACCATTGTCTGCCTTTATGGCGGTGCCCACGGAAGAGGATTTTCCTGGTTTCCTCCCAGTGAGGGGGCTGTCTGTGCTTCCCCAGTCTTCCTAACCTCATCTGTTTGGTCAGCTGCTTCCTCAGCAGGATGTTCCTGGTCAGCAGGAGCAGCTCAGCCAGTGCAAACCGCAGGTCTCGTCATCATGACTTACTTCGGTTTTCTGAAGTGTCATCAACTGTGTGTTAGTGCCCCCACAGACATGGCTCTGCCCTCTAGTCCTCCCCTTGAAGGCACACATAAGCTGTGTCCTCTTGGAGAAGGTTTAGTATTACACTGGGAACAGTGTTTACTTACACTGGGTTTTAACTTCTTGCCCAGTCTTTCCTGACCCACCTCACCTCAGACCTAGATTTCATTGTATTTTGAAAGTATTAACATCAGTGCCCCACCCCCACCTCGCCAGAGCACACCCCAAAGTGTTTGGGAGGTTTGGATCCGGTTTCACTGCTTTCACTGCACTGCCCTGGTTTCCTGACCTTTTCACTTTGGGGATGTTTAGGATTAAGTGAAAGTACTTCTCTGAATGTGTGTAACATTCCTTCTTTAGTGACCATTTTGTTGACAAATGAGGACTAACTCGGTAACGGTGCCCACGTGCCCTTTTCCACAGCCCTTCTGGGGATGTGCCTTCTCTGCATGTGCCCAGCTCTGGGCTGATGTTGCACAGAGGAGCTGGGCGAGGTGACCTGTTATTGCAGGGGCTGCTGAAAATGGAAGCTGTGGCCCTGAGTGTCTCCCCTGGAGGGACAGCGGTGGAGTCACCTCGGGTGGACCTGTGTGGAGATGAAAGGCAGGACAACTGTAGCGCTCTGACCTCCCTGGGTAAGGCTGATTGATGGGCACCCATTGCTCATTAGGTTTCCTGGCTTCCTTTGTGTATTAGAACCTGCTGGGCTGTTAGAACCCATTGTGTTTGGATTCAGAATCATGGTTTCTCGACCCTGTTACTGACCAGCCCCTTAACCCTTCCTGCTTTGTGTTGTCTCGTGTAAGTGGCATGAGCAGGTAGGGCAGGGCTGGCCAGAGCAGATGCTCAGTCAGTGTTGATTCCTTTCCCATGGCTAGACCTAAGACAGGAGGAGAGCTGAGGGGTTTCTTCAGGAAAGGGACCACGGGACCAGAGAGTGACAGCTAGGAGTGACTTAGAGACCGAGGACCCTGGAGCCTGACCTCAGAGGTGAGGAGGGTGCAGAGGCTCACAGATGTCCTGGCTTGTCTGAGTTCACATGGCCCCGGGGGTGCAGCGGGGACTCTGATTCGGATCCTCCAGCTTGGTAGCCAGTTCCGTGTGGGCACCTGGCCTCTGCCTGGGATGAGAGCAGAGGTGCCTGCCCTTTCCTGAGCTCCTTCTTTCTCTGATTTGTACAAACATGTCAGAAAGCCCTTTCACTTGCCTTGCTTACACTCGGTCGCCTTCTGCCGAGCCGTTTCTTTTTTTTTTTTTTTTTTATCCTCACCCGAGGGCATTTTTTCTATTTTTTGTTCAGATAGAGTGGGAGGGAGAGTGAGGAAGAGAGAGTGAGAGAGGGAAACATCGATGTGAAATGGACACATCGAGTGGTTGCCTCCTGCATGACCCAGCCAGGGCTGGGGACAAACTGCAACCGAGGTACGTGCCCTTAGCAGGAACTGAACCCGGGTCTCTCTGGACCGCAGGCCAACGCTCTAACCTTTGAGCCAAAGCAGCCAGGGCTGCCGAGCTGTTTTTTATTTAGTCTTCAGTGCATGGCCCTGCCTGATTATCCCTGGAACTCAGAACCTCTGCATGAATCCCCAGCACAGTCCTCACCCCTGCCCTCCATTCTCATTTGTCCCTTTCTTCTGACGGACCCGTTCCCATTCCCTTCTCTTTCCTCCCCAGCACTCCTGTTCTCCCTCTGTACTTCCATCTGGTTCTCGTACTTACACCCTCATCCAGGGTGCAGACAGACCTGTGTTGTTCTTGCCTCCTTGGACTCAGCAGAGAGGTCTCCTCTGTGGCAGGTGTACCTGACAGTTGCTGGCTCTCTGTTGTTTCAGGTGGTGAAATGCAGATGAAGATCCGAGACTTGCCGCTAGGTGAGGAGCACCCGGGACAGGAGCCCGGGAAGACGCTGGGCCACGTGGGTGAAGCCATTGCCCAGTCAGCTACATGTGCAGGGGTCGGTGAACAGGAGGGCCGGTTACAAAGAAAGCAGAACAGTGGCAGTGGAAGGAGGCGGCACATTTGCCATGAATGTGGAAAGAGCTTTGCTCAGAGTTCAGGCCTGACAAAGCACAGGAGAATCCACACTGGAGAGAAACCGTACGAGTGTGAAGACTGCGGCAAGTCCTTCATCGGGAGCTCAGCCCTTGTCATTCACGAGAGAGTCCACACTGGTGAGAAACCCTATGTGTGTGAAGAATGTGGCAAGGTCTTCAGTCACAGCTCAAACCTTATCAAGCACCAGAGAACACACACTGGGGAGAAGCCCTATGAGTGTGATGAGTGTGGGAAGACCTTTAGCCAGAGCTGCAGCCTCCTTGAACATCACAGAATCCACACCGGGGAGAAGCCATACCAGTGCAGCATATGTGGGAAAGCTTTTAGGCGGAATTCACATCTCCTGAGACATCAGAGGGTCCATAGCGGTAGAAATGTTCAGGATCCTGAGTGTGGGGAGAGTTGGGAGAGTCCCGGGAAGGTGGAGAGCCAGGAGGGGGATGTCGAGGCTCCCGTGTCTTATAAATGTAATGAGTGTGAGAGAAGTTTCACGAGGAGCAGAAGCCTTGTTGAGCACCAGAAAATCCACACTGGTGAGAAGCCCCATGAGTGCGATGCATGTGGAAAAGGCTTCACCCGGACGTCATACCTCGTTCAACATCAGAGAAGCCACATTGTGAAAAAAATTCTGTCCCGGTGACCCATGTCTGAGGGGGCAAAGTTGGTGCTCTTTCCTCGTTAGACTGAAGCTGCCCTGGAGCCCCCCTAACCACAGGCACCAGGCGGTGTTCAACCTTTCACGTTCCAGAGGGTGACTGGGAAAGGAATTGTTTGATAGGAGGCTCTGGGTCGCTGTCTGGAGGAGGTTGGACTCGGGATGGTTGCTCTAACCTGCTGTGCTTCAGCGGCTTCCAATCTGGCTCATCCCCTTCGCCACCACTTTATGACATTCCTGGGTCGGTGGCTGTGACTGGGGCTGCTGCTCTGCCTCCTTGTTCTGCCCATGTTGGATCCTTCACCAGTGCATGGGGTGATGCTGTCTTATCCCCCACGGCGCCTTGCGTATAGGTGCTACACATGAAATGACCTTCGTTTCGCTGAAAATCTCTTTTCTTGAATTCTCAGGCCATCTATGTTTGTGTCTAGTTCTGTGAGGTTTTAGGGTCAGAGGTGAATCTACTGTATCTATTGCCAAGTACATAGGATTGTCAGAATTGGGATGGAGGAGTCCATATATCTTCATCAGCATATTCTTCACTTATAGTAAGAATGCTTTGAACAGCTTCTTTGTCATTAAGACATTGTGAGACGTCTCCGTCCACACAACTCCATTCTTTAGTCAATGTCAATTATGTGAGTTCACATGAATTTTGCTACTCTTTAGGGGGAAACTGTTCACATTCAGGTAAATAAAAATGAGTGTATCAAGTCAGACAAATTGATTGTGAATTTGACAATGTCTGTGATGCTCCACAGCTTATTTCTCAGCTCTTACTTATCTGGGGCATAACCAAGTGTCAGACAACACCTGCATCCCTCCCTCCCAACTTAGAGCCAACAGTGCACCAAGGCTGAAGCCAGCTGAGCCTAATCTTCCTACAAGTCAGAGGATTCACACCAAGTATTTATGACCAGTATCATTCCTGTTTTCAAAACTGCCCTGTGGTTGGGGATCGGAAGTTAGGGCCAGAGGCAGCCAATGAGGACAGGACCTGATTGTGGGAAACAGAGAAGCACACTGGGACCCCTGACTATCTGACCAAAGTGATTCCACAGTGTCCAGTGGCAACATGTGAAGTCAAGACTATGCTGGTAGTTACTTAAAAGAAGAATTTTGTGATGTCTCCTGTTTTGACCCAGATCACCTTCTGTGAGTTCTTCCTCAGTGCCTGAGTGGATATCACCAGTATCAGGCTGTGCCAAGAATGGATTCAGCTTCTGATGAAACCCTGACCATGTTCTGTTCAGGAACCTTCCTGGATTCCTGCTCTGAAGGAGCACAGGTTGATGAGGGACTCTGTAAACCACAGGGCTCTCCCTCTACCAGTCTTTGCCTTCACTGTCTCCGCCCGCAGTCCAGCGTAAACCTTTAGCTCTCACAACCCTAAGACTTTATACACTTAATAATTTCTAATCTTTTAAAATTTCCTTTTAAATTAACCTTATTTTTGTTACTTCCACAAATTACTCATTTACTTTTCTCTCGTTTTTATTTTTCCTAAATATTTGTTAATGGCCTTGATCTTAAACACTGCTCATTTTTCTGTGGTGTGCTTTTTAAAAATTTATCTTTATTGTTGAAAGTGTTATAGATGTCCCCCCTTTTTTCCTCCACTGACCTCCCCCTTCTCCCCACTTCCACCCTCCTCCTGCCTTCCCCACACTAATGTCTGTGTCCATTCGTTATAAGTTCCTTGGTTTATTTTTTGCCGCCCTCCTTTCCCCCTTCCCTTTGAGGTTCATCAGTCTAACAACCAATTTGTACTTCTTAATTCCTTCATATTTTTCACCCATTCCAACTCCCCTCCCTTCTGGCAACCATCAAAAAGTTCTCTGTATCTGTGAGTCTAGTTCTATTCTGCTTGTTCATTTTGTTTCTAGATTCAATTGTTGATAGATATGTATTTATTGCCATTTTATCCATATTTTTTATTTTCTTCAAGAAGACCTTTCATTTCATATAATACTGGTTTGGTGGTGATGAACTCCTTTAGCTTTTTCTTATCTGGGAAACTCTTGATATGTCCATCAATTCTAAATGACAGCTTTGCAGGACAGAGTAATCTTGGTTGTAGGTTGTTGCTTTTCATCACTTTGAATATTCTTGCCATTCCTTTCTGGCCTGCAAAGTTTCTTTTGAGAAATCAGCTGACAGACTTATGGGAGCTCCCTTGTAGGTAACTAACTACTTTTCTCTTGCCGCTTTTAAGGTTCTCTCTTTGTCTTTAACCTTCTGCATTTTGATGATGATGTGTCTTGGTGTGGACCTCTTTGGGTTTATCTTGTTTGGAATCTGTGCTTTCTGGATGTGTGTGTCTGTTTCCCTCACCAAATTAGGGAAGTTCTCTGTAATTATTTTTTTCAAGTAGGTTTTCAATTTCTTGCTCTCTGTCTTCTCCTCTGGAACCCCCAAATGTTGCAAATGTTGATACACTTGAAGTTGTCCCAGAGACTCCTTACACTATCTTTTTTTTTTGATTCTTTGTCTGATTGGGTGTTTTTGCTTCCTTATATTCCAATTCGATGGTTTGCATCTTAGCTTCACCTACTCTACTATTGATTACCTGTGAATTATTCTTTATTTCAGTTAGTGCATCCTTCGTTTCTGATTGGTCTTTTTTATGTTCTTGAGGTCTTCACTAAGTTCTTTGAAATTTGCACTAAGTTCATTGAGCATTCTTATAACCAGTGTTTTGAACTCTGCATCTATTAGATTGCTTATCTCCATTTCATTTAGTTCTTTTCCTGGAGTTTTGTTGTGTTCTTTCACATGTTTGGGACATGTTTCTTTGTCTTCTCATTTTGGCTGCTTCCCTATGTTTGTTTCTATGTACCAGGTAGACTTGCTGTCTCCTAGGCCTCCTATGTGGCCTGTTGTAGTAGGTGTACTATCCTGTAGGGTCCAGTGCCACAGCCTCCCTAATCACCCCAGCTGGGCCCTCGAGGTGAACCCCTAGTGTGGACTGTACACCCTTCTGTTGTAATTGAGTCTTGATTGCTGTTGGCACATTAATGGGAGGGATTTTCTCAGGTGGATCAGCAGCATGAACTGGCTATGACCACTGACCACTGGCCTCTGATTACCTTGGAGGATCAGCTGCAGGGGCCAACCATACAGAGCAAGACTTACTTCAGCAGGGCTCTGGTACCCACTGAATCTACTCCTTGAGTGTGTCACTTGTGGAGGTGGTGGGGTGGTACTTTGAGGTAGTCTGAAGCTGTCCACTGGGTATGCTGGCTCTGGGGCAAGGTCAGCCACTGCCTGTGTTCTACCCGGAGCCACCATGCATAAGCTACAGAGTGATCTGCCAATGGCTGCTTCTTGTGCTGGGCTTGGAGGTATCCAGGAAAAGTCAAGCTGTGAACCAAGGCTGGCTGCTTCTAGTGCTGGGCCTGAGGCCAATTAGCTAGAGGTATGAGGCTTGCTGAGACAAGGTGCTCTGTTTGAGAGATTTTAGGAAAATCTGAAGCAAGAGCCAAGACAGGCTAACCCTATGGCAAAGCCACTGGAAACATCTTGGGTGGGCCTGAGAGTTGGGTGGGGCGGGGCCTCAGGGCAGGGCAAATAGTGTGAGCCAGATTGCTGGAGTCCTAGATCTGGTGTCTGTCTGCTGGCCTCATGGAGAAGGGCTCACCAAAGGGACAACAGCCTGCGCCAGCATGTCTGTCTCTCCAGCTCTCTCCCCAGATGCCAAACAACTTAGTTCTTCCCCGTATGTCTCTGGTGCCTTTCAAGCTGCCTCCCTGATGCTGAAGCCTGAAGGGTGCAAGTCCAAGTAAGTCTGTGCATGGGCCCTTTAAGAGAAACTGCCTGGGGCTCCAGTAGCCTCAGTCTCCCTCAGCCTCAGTTCCTGGTTTTACAGCCAGAAGTGATGGGGATTCTCTTCCTGGCACTGGAACCCTGAGCTAGGGGCCTGGTGTGGGATAGGAACCCATCCTTCCTCAGAGAGAACCTTCCCAGCCAAGGTGTCCTGATTTTCATCTACCTTACATGGGTGTGGGCCGAGCCCGTCCACCCCTCCGCCCTCCTACCCGTCTCCATGTGGCTGCTGCTGTAATATCATAGTTTAGGACTTCCCTTCAGCTTGATGTCAGGCGGTTCTGAAGGGTGGTTGCTCTGTAGTTTAGTTGTCATTTTTGATGTGGTTGTGGGAGGAGATTAGTGTGCGTTTACCTCACATGTATTTCTTCCACCTCTCATATCTTGCTTCAGTTGGGTGGTAGGGAAGGTTCTCCACAAATCAGTAGTGGGTTTGTTGTTACATGGATACTGCATCCTCCGTAGCTGAGGGGCTGAACCCTTTCTAAAGACACTGTTCTATCAGGTGTCTCTGAATGTCTCACAGTGCAGGGGTCATGCAAAATCTTGCCTGAGTCCAGAAAAAAATGACCATGGGACGTGTGGTGCATGCCGCTCTGCACTTATTAGCAAAACGAGAGAACCACAGTCCCAACCCAGCCCCGGGTCTGTGGCTTGCTCCACTGGAATGTCCCTCCTGTCCTCCCCATCCTTCACCTGCCTTCTTGTCCCTAGTAAATCCCCCTTACAGTCCTCAGCTGCTGTTACTGACTTCAGGCAACCACAAAGGGTAAACATCGGTTGTTTTTTCCTGAATAAATTATCTTAAGACTGGGCTGGTATCAGATACCTTTGAGTTATTTTTATTTTCAAAGACAAGCTATCAAGAAGAGAGACATTTGCTCTCATCTTTTAAACAGAAAATGTTGGGAGGGGGCAAAAATGTTAGACACCAAAACAAAGGCGCCTTCGTGAGGACAGCATTCAGCTTTGCAGACTCTTTTCAGAGGCAACAGAATGTTTCAGTAACATCTACATAAAATTTCCAAGTGCCCCTCAGCTGCCAAGGTCATAACACAACAGGGCCTGCCAGGAGAAGAGTGAGGCCAAGGTCAGCCACTGCAGGGTCTCAGGAGGGTCACAGGGTGGTCAGAGCAGAGTCTCAGGAGGGTTATAGCAGGATCACAGCAGGGTCTCAGGAGGGTCACTGCAGGATCACAGCAGGGTCTCAGCAGGGTCTCAGGAGGGTCACAGCAGGATTACAGCAGGGTCTTAGCAGGGTCAAAACAGGGTCAGGAGGGTCACAGCAGGGTCACAGCAGGGTCTCAGGAGGGAGGCATGTGGGGCTGGCAGGAGCCTGGGCTGGTTTAAGGGACCCACCCACATACACAGCTCCTCCTCCCCTGCGTGGTTGGCCCCAGAGGCACCCAAACTCGAGCAGACACAAGCAGACTCACCTGGTTCTCAGGATCCAGAGGAACAGACAGACCCTCTAGGCCCGCAGTAGCCTGGAGAGGCGACTTCCAGGAATCCCACACTGGGCATCTGGGGGTCCGCTCTAGGACCTCTGAGGTTTTGTCTCAGTGGACAAAGCCTTGGAACCCTGGATTCTGTTTCCACATATACCACCACCTTTTTGGGTGACCCCGTCCAAGCCATAAGACCTCTTCTGACCCCCATTTACAGAAAAATGGGGTGGAAAGTGATGTCGAACTTATTCTATAAACTGGAGGAATAAACAACAGAGTGGTGCAGCTATTTCTTTGGTATATTACACATCAACAGACCGTCTAATGCTGGGGTCGATCCTCTTTAAATCTGCTGAAGAAAGCACCACTGACTTACAAAAAACATTCTTATAAGGTCTTTTAAATTATTTAATTTAGGAAATCACACTTTGCCCCACAAGTCTGCCTTTCTAAGTAGGATTAAATGAGTATGTTAAAAACTTTGTAAGTGGGAATGTTTTATTTGGCAAACCCTTGGGGAATTGGTATTACTGAATATGGTGCCCAAGGGGATGCTGGGAGTCCTGTTGTCCCCAAAGCTGAATCTCTAATTACTGGCATCTTCTAGAGAGAGCCCCAGGGTTTTACCTCATTCTATAATGAACCAAGATGCAGAAGCTTGAACAGGACTTGTGCTCCTGCAACACCTCCCACTCACTGTGGAGACAGAAGCAGGTCTGATGCTGGAAGAAACCTTAGAACACCAACAACGTAAAGCTTCTCATCGCTCTGGCAGAAATGTTGCTGTGAATGCCAAACATTAGGGCTTTTTACTTTTATAGTCATACAAACTACAAAATGTATTCACACTGAGAATTTGTGTAAAGCTTGGCATAGCTAACTTTTTCTAATTGCAATACTAGTATTTTTCTATATACCTTAAATACATCAAAACTGGGGTTTCTCAACAGAGTAGTTTTTTTGCTGTCCTGTGCATGCAGGATACTCAGCAGCACCTCTAGCCCCTGCCCATAGGTACCAGCCTCCCACCACCATCTCCGGACAATGGCAAGTTTCTCCAGTTGAGAACCACTGTCTGACCTGATGCAAAAGCCTGTTTGTTCTCAAGCATTTCTGCGATGATGCAGTGATCTTTAGTGTTTCCTATTTTCTTTCTTAACAAATAAGTAAGTCTGGCCAAACAAATAGGAAGTTCATATTTCAACTTTTCACACACGCCCTCCTAAAACTGCAATTTTGGGTTTAATCTTCAGTATATTGTTACTGATGGCTTATGGACATAGGTCTGTGCACAAAGTGGTAAGGCGAGATATACATCCCTGACAACCAGTGTAAAAATTTCTGTAGGTAACACCATAAATAACTCACACAATAACCTGACAAGCATTTATTAAGCCTACTGTGTGCTCAGCACCATACTAGGCACTAGGGGTGCAGAGATACAAATGTAACATTCTTATACCTGCCCTCAAGGAGCTTACAACTTAATTTTGGAAATAAATACAAATGTGAAACTACAATACAGAGTGCTAGAAAATTACAAGGCTACATTATTAGTAAGTGCATGGACCACAGTACAAACAAAATACCAGTGCCCAGGCAGCACAGAACAAGGGAGGTGTCCGCAGGTGAAGTCAGGGAGCGCTCACTCGGAAGATGCAAAGGAAACCAGACTTTGAGGGTGGATGAACACAAGCAGGGGCCAAGGAGCAACTAAGGAAAAGGAACAGGTGCAAAAGGCACAGAGGCAAGGTCAAGGGCTTGTAAGAACAGAGAAGGCCACAGGCAGCATGACTGTGATGATGCAGGTGGACCTGCTGGAGGAGGCAGCTGCGGCAGATGGCACGTGGAGGGCAGGCCATGGAGAACTAGGCACATCGCTGCTCTGACTGGAATGATGAGCTGAGTGTTCTTGAGTGAAAATGAGACATGAAAATGGAGTGTGCCTACAAGATGGGGATCTTGGGAGCAAGGACACTGGAAAGAAAGAATTACAACAACCTGGGCCCCAGAGAATAGGGATCTAAACGAGGCGATGGCAGAAATGTAGACGTCCAGCCTCAAGGAAGAACTAAGAATTGGAACAACTTGGCAAGATTTTGGACATGTAAAGTGGCAAGACTGGAATAGGAAACATACAGGTTAGTGAGTCTGTTCAGGGTAAAGGAATTAAGCGATGATGCCATTTAAAAGGAAAATGGGCCCTGGCCAGCTTGGCTCAGTGGTTGGAACGTCGACGTGCAGTCCAGAGAGACCCGGGTTCGATTCCCACTAAGGGCACGTACCTCGGTTGCAGTTTGTCCCCGGCCCTGGTTGGTCGTGTGGGTGGCAGCCACTCGATGTGTCCCTTTCACATCGATGTTTCTCTCTCTTTCTCTTCCTCTCTCCCTCCCACTCTATCTGAACAAAACATGAAAAAATGTCCTCAGGTGAGGATAAAAAAAAAAGGAAAATGGTATTTGGGAGATAGGAGTGAAGAGTTCTGTTTTCAAATATCAAGTTGTACAGGGATGTGGTGGGAAAGATTAAGTTACTGATAATCAAAACGAATAAACAAGAGTGAGGACAGAAAAACTAGTGAATATGCTCAGTGGACAGGAGAAAAAAAGACCAATAAAGAAAAACTAGAAATTGGAGAAAAATGGCCAAAAAAGGTCCCACAAGCCAAAAAAAAAAAAGAGAATTCCTGAGATAACAGGGTAAATTCAACAGTAGGAAATATAGATCAAGGATAAGTAAGAACTAAGAAAAGGCATGACATTTACCCACTGGTAATTGTGAGGACATTTCAGGGGAGTGCTGAGTACAAAAGTCAGTTAAGGAGGAGTTTTAAGAACAGATTACTGAGGAAATAGATTGAATAATGGATGACATGTTTGAAAAACCATAAATGCTAGAAGAAAACAGACTGGTCATTGGAAGTGTTCAGTAAATGGAAGGTTTTACACATTTTATATGTAGATGAACTTACTACTGTCATCCTAACTGTCCATCTGTCTGGCCTGCTGCATTGATATTTCATTTCTCTCCATATTTCTACTTTCCCTGGGGGCAGTTTAGAGAGAACTGGATTTGAGTCTGTAAGTCACTGCTTTACCCTCCCAGTTATTCTGCTAAACGTTTTTACTGATGCATTTTAGTTTTCTAGTACTACAAATCATCAGAAGTATCAACATTTAATGATGATGTAAGTATAAAGCAAAACGGTATTTTCAACCAATCTTCCAGGAGTTATAATGGATCTGCACTACCTCGCACATTTCTGTTCCCCGTACCTCCTGTACTAGGGACACAGTTTTCAATCAGCTGGCCAGGTTAGGTGTTCATTAGAGACATAGAGCACAATGGTTAGGAGCACAGGCTTGAGAACCAGAATGTGTAGGTTAGAATCTCTGCTCTACCACTTACCCACTACGTGATCTTGGTCAACCCATTTCACTCTCTAAGCCTCAGTTTTCTCATCTATGAAAGAGGGGATATAATTATATCTATCACAGCATGAGAAATAATTAACGTAGAGTCTGGTACACAGTATGTGCTCTATAAGCTTCAGTACCTGGAGCCTCAGAACCAAGAGTAAAGCCCAGGGCTCCACAAGGGAATCCACCACCACATTCTAGCTTTGCTCAAGGGAGATCTCCCAGGACTATGTTGGGTGGCCGCAGCAATCCAAAGAACCACGTTGTCATTCCGGGTCTGTTTGAAATGAGGAGCTGAGGAGGCAGAGAAAGTATTGGTGAGCAGTTCACCTCAGATTAACAGCATAAAAACAGAATCTGCAGGATGAAGGAGCGTCATGCATGTCACTGACTTTTACTACTTGGCCGTTTCTGTAGTTGCCGAGTCAGCCTCAAGAGTTCTTTCACGTCACTCTTTTCTCTTTCACCCAGTACGACGCTCATCCTCCTGGTCATAGTTTCTCTTCTCCGCATTTCTGCCGGACGCTCAGTACTGTTCTGACATTGAAGTAATCTGGCCGCACACGACTGAGTAGACAATAGCTGTGTATCTGCAGTCATTTCAACATGTCACTCTGCTAAGGGCTTTCACTGGGACAGAAGACCACTGTTCCCCTAGTAATGTGGGAGGTGTGTGTGTGTACATGCACATGCACACACACTCTCTACATATCCATTCTATGTAACACTGGCACGCAAGTGGCACTGGCCTCAGGCAGAATTAGTGTCTCACAGAGCGTAAGGCACCACTGAAACAGAGAGCAAGGATCTAGAGACAACCAGATTTACCAATTTCTGGTATTTCACGGGACTTAAGAATGGTAATCCATAGGGGTGTGAGAGAGAGAGAGAGAGAGAGAGAGAGAGAGAGAGAGAGAGAATATAAGAATATCGGACAACTGAAAACACTGCCTTGAAAAGTTAAACAGTGGGTACAAATAACTGAATGAAACAGGCGTAGGTGACCTTGACGTCTGTGGTGAAGGTGGGCCAAAAGGCAGTAGAGAAAGAGAAGGAATTTATAATCCTAAAAGTGAATCTCTGTGAAATAAGATTTTATGACTGATTTTTAAAAACATCAATCATAAAGTAAGTGTTGTCCCTTTTCAGAATAGTCACAGTGTAAAGTTACGTAACTTCTCTTGGAGTTTTCGGCAGAATTTATACCCTATTCTTCAATTCCTACTATGAAAGATGACTTTGAAAACAGCCAGAAGTCCCTTGATTCCAAACCCAACGAACAGGTGGGCAACCACACAGTGAACGAGACGTGACTCAAGAGTAGTAGAGCTTTCCCGTGTGGTTACCAAATGGGAATACCTGAAGGACAGGCACTGCAATGGTACCACCGAAATAACTACAACTGCCCAACGGAAAGGACAACTTGTGTGGCTGTGTAACCTCCGATGTTGCTTTAAACCAGCCTCCAAGATGAGATGCTGTCCTGGTGACGAGTGTAATGTAGTCTTTGCTGGGTTACAGATGGGTGTGCACCCAAACTGAGAACAAGCAACTGTGAAGTGATGTGCTCAAGAGACCACCACTGTGACATGTAAGCTAATGGCAAGAAGCAGATGGTGAATGAGTGAGGTGCTGGCCACCTGAGGGAGTCTAGGGTGATGATGAGTGACCAACCATCTCGGCAGGAACCTGTGAGAGCAGTACTGGGACAGGCCAGAGGGATGACTGCACGTTCTGTGTAAGGATTCGTGTGCCTTCCTCAAGCCCATCTCCTCCCACGTGATTCCATAAGAAGGACAGTGTGGAACACCCATCTGTACCACAGCGTGCAGTGGGGAGGCAGGAAGAAGAGCCAGACATCTCCACAAAAGACAGTCACCCAAGGTCAAAAGCACCCAGGTTGTCTACACTCGCCTTCCTCTGCACATTCCCACAACCATCACTAATGTGTCACTTCCCTGGCAGACTCGGGGCTGGGGCCTGGGGTGGAGGACATGTGTGGTGACTAGCGTTTGGTGACTCAGTGGAACCAGTGAAGGTGACACGTGAAGAAAATTGCTGCAGTGCTGTTAAAAATATAACATTCTGAGTTTTCATGGAAAATGAATTTCCACTGACTACCAGGAACATTAGAAGAAAATGCACACGCAAGCATAAATACCTGTCTGAAAAATCTCCCTAGAACTAGGATCTTAGAAAGCTAAATATATATCTAACTCTCACACAAAGGCTGCTTCAAACGCTAAAGTAGCTTCCTAGGTAGATGAGGATCACACACACACCCCTCCAGAGGAATAACCGGGGAGGGGGGTCACGGGAGAGTGAAGAAGCGAGGAGCCAGGAACAGCCTCACTCGAATCTATAGCTACTCACCCAGAAGACAAAGGTAGGTGCCTCAAGCCACAAGCACCTTGTTCTGATGCTTTTTAATCTTCTAAGAGGTACACTGGACCACTGACACCTCCCAGGACAGTCAAGCTAATGAATCTGCATTGAGGCACTGGGCCTGAACTACTCAAGAGCTATTCTAACTGCCACCACTATTGATTCTGACCCTGCATCAGGACACAACAATGACAAGCTTTCTGCCTTTTTACTCCACTGAAAGACTTCTCACCAGCATGTGGTTCCATTAATGTTGAATAATGCCCAAACTATGACTCAATTTCTCCCCTAAACACCTATGGATTCAGATTTTTCTCCACTGTGTATTCTCTGATGTCGAATGAGACTCGATCTCTGAATAAAGGCTTTCCCACACTCATCACATTGATAGGGCTTCTCCCCTGTGTGGATTCTCAGATGCTGAATGAGGCCAGTGTTCCCATTGAAAGCTTTCCCACATTCTTTGCATTTATAGGGTCTTTCTCCGGTGTGGATTCTCTGGTGCTCAATGAGGCCTGACTTCTGACTGAAGGCCCTCCCACACTCATTGCACTTGTAGGGTTTCTCTCCAGTGTGGCTTCTCTGATGGCCAATAAGATGTGAGCTCCGCCTGAAGGTTTTTCCACACTCATCACATTCATAGGGCTTCTCCCCCGTGTGGATTCTCTGATGTCCAATGAGGTGTGAGCTATGACTGAAGGCTTTCCCACACTCATTACATTCATAGGGTCTCTCCCCACTGTGGATTCTCTGGTGCAGAATGAGGCCCGCACTCTGACTGAAAGCCTTCCCACACTGGTTACACTGATATGGCTTCTCCCCAGTGTGGATTCTCTGGTGTAAGATCAGGCCTGTGTTTTGACTGAAGGCTTTGCCACACTCCTTACAGTGATAGCGCTTTACTTTGTTGTGGATATCCTGATGGGAGAGAAGGGCTGACCTGTAACTGAAGGCTTTCCCACACACATTACACTGATAGGGTTTCTCCCCAGTGTGGATTCTCCAGTGGCGGACAAGGCCTGAGCTCTGAGCAAAGCTCTTCCCACACTCATCACATTTATGTCGCCTCTCCGGGGTGGGATTTCCCCGCTGCCTCTCTAATCTGCCCAGAAGGTCACAGGCTTCTCCATGCTCAAGACCCCCGATAACATCCCCATTGCGTTTGGCAGCTGTCTCTCCATGTAGTTGGACTCCAGCAGATATTACCTGTTTTGAAGCTAATTCCCTGTTCTCATTCCTGGTTTCACCACCTGAAATGAAAATGTAATAAACAAACATCAAGCAATGTCACTTCCATTCTTCTGTTAGGAGAAAGGAATCGAAGATAGGGAAAAGGGAAATAAACATGGAACAGCTACAAGAAATGCAAAGCTTCCACCTGTCTCCAAAACGCCTTCACAACGTGGGCAGATGGGAGCAGGTCAAGCCCAACTACTACTGGCTGACAGGGGAAGAAGAGCCATGGAAATGAGGCTACTGGGAGAGGGAGTAAGGCAGGGAAGGGATCATCTGAAGAGAAGTGGAAGTCGGGGAGTGGGAAGAAATATGGAATGACTAAAAGATCTAATGAGTAAGACAGAAATGGAAAAAAGCCCGAGTTATTAAAAGGAAGGAGCGCAATAGGCCTAAGTGAGAGAAGTCTATGGGAGCACCTCATGGGAACTAGGACAGAAGAAATGCATGGAAGAGTAAAGAGTGAGTCCTAGACTGGAGAATGAAGGTTTCATTTTAGACTTCAAGAAGTCTCAATGTTGTATTTATCTGTTGGATCCTCAATTTAAACTCAACTACATCTTTCAGAAAGCTCATAGTTAAGTACACATAAAACAAACAAACAAACAAATGAACAAAAAACCTTAACTATGATAGTAACCAGAGCACTCCTCACCCAGGGAGAACTCGCTTCTGTAACTCTCTGGCCTATCATCTCTCCTCAGATCCTTCTGTGACGGATCAAGAAGCCACTCCTCTCGAATCAGAGACACAGCCATGTCTTCGATCTTCTCCAAAGTCTGAAACAAAACAAGCTCCCATTTGAGGACTGGATTGTTCCACAGCTCAAACCCAGAGTGCCAGAGATCCACCGGGGTTGAACAGGGTCAAGAGCTAGGGACATATTGTGTAAATGAGTCTGAACAGCTGGGAAGAGGAAAACGCACCAAGTCAAGTATCAATCTGCCACTATTCAAAAGGATTTGGGGTAAGTTCTTGGGTGAGCACTGGTACAGGCAGTATGGACACGGGCTGGATGCCACAAACATGAGCAAGGACAGGGATGGGGTTTCAGTGAGAAGGAGCAAGACTCACCTGGAACCCTGCTGTTAGAAGTGATGCAGTCATCTGGTCTCCAAGACTTCCTTCCTGGGAAGGGGTGGGACTCTGAGAAGGAGATATGGCTGAGGAGGAGAAAGGAATTATGAATGAGGCCAGCCTTGTGCTGTGCTTGAGGGAGCAAGCAGCAACCCATTATAAAATTATCTATATTTCAGCAGGAATGCATGTCAGTTCTACTGTGAAATGCTGATAGCTTGGCTCTGGGTCCACAAAACATCTGCTTTGACGTCCCTCTCAGCCTGAAGTTACACATAAAACATACAAAGTGCATGGTTTCTAACAGAAACTGCTTTACAATTTATTCTCTGACCGAAGCTACATTCCATCCTCGTGCTTGTTACAGGATCCATTTAGGTCCTGGTCTCTTGGCAACCTCTCTGTTTCCTCTGTTACATTCCTCTGAAATGTCTACACAACTCCCAGGATTGGCTCCCTACAGATACGAGATAGTGCAATACAAAGTCAGTAACATGTCTCAGAACTTCAGACAAGAACTGTATTAATAATTGAAAATGTTTCTATATTTCTTCTCTAGAAATATTAATAAACCATTTATTTTATATAGAACAAACTTCTATAAATCATATAAGTAAAAACATAACAAATGCAGGGCACGTATGAGCTGAGACTAGAATGTCTTGTTCTGTAAGAAAGTAGGTTCTCAAAAATCAATGGGAAATGTCAAAAGGATATAGGAGCCAGACTGAAGGGTTAACCCTCTGGCAAATCTGAGACAATTTAAACATTGAAATAAAGACAGTAACAGAATACATGGGGAGTAAAATAAGAATTTATGACTCCATACTGATTAATTAAAAATAATAAAATGAGAAGGGAACACTCTTCAATATAATAAACAAATAAATATCATTTTATAACTGTCTTAGTAATCACTGATTTAGTCAAGAAGCATCAATAGCCCTGGCCAGTTTGGCTCAGCGGTTAGAGCATCGGCCTGCGGTCCAGAGAGACCCGGGTTCGGTTCCCTCTAAGGGCACGTACCTTGGTTGCAGTTTGTCCCCGGCCCTGGTTGGGCCGTGCGGGTGGCAACCACTTGATGTGTCCCATTCACGTCGATGTTTCCCTCTCTCTCCCTCCCACTCTATCTAAACAAAAAATGAAAAAATGTCCTCGGGTAAGGATATAAAAAAAAACAAACAGCAGCACCAATAAATAATACTGTATTTTAGCAACAATAGTGTGATGAGGACCAAGCTATTTACACAGTCTCAAGAGTATCTCCCCACAAATTATTTATTAATTACAAAGAGAAAAATAGTAACTTTATCACCAATTACCCCAGCAAGAATAACCATAACCAAGTCATCCAAATCACCATCAGCAATAACAGGACAAAATCCTGCTGTATCCCTGAGGACACAGTCTCACTTCTGGGGTGTTCCTGCCTAACAGACCCAACTCGAAGCTAAACATTAGGACACATCACACAAACTCAAATTGCAGCCACTTTACAAAACAACTGACCTATACTCTTCAAAAATGTCAAGATCATGAAAAGCAAAGAAAGGCTGAGAAACTCAACTGTTTCCTTGGACTGGATTTGGGACAAACACCATTGGAACCACTGGCAAATATGAACGTAAACTGTGGACGAGATGAGTACTATATCAATGATACATCTGATTGTTTGAGGAAATACATAGTGAAATATTTACAAATAAAGTGGCATGATACCAGCAAAACCTCAAAACACCATGTTGGAAAATACATTGGGGTAACAGAAATGTATGAGTACATAAAAATTACCAAATTCTTTAATTTGTTCAGAGTTAGCCCTGGGACTGACAGTCCGCAGTGAAGCCTGGATGCACATGCAGACCACACCTCTAAGTGGCCTGCACAGAGCAGTGCCCAGGAAGGAGGCAGGGTTCTCCCCCTCCCTCACTAGCGAAACCGGCTCCTCACCTCTGTCCAGGGGCCTGCGGAGCACAGGAGCTGCGTGCCGGGTTGCTGGAGGCTGAAGCTGAGTACCTGGAGGCTCTGGTGCAGGTTCCAAGTGCACCACCTCCTCCCAGAGGACCCTGCGACCATGTGCACGAGCTGGGACCTGAACACAATGGTAGCTGCGTTATAACGGATCCTCTGAGGAACAAGGTGAAGGGTGTAAAAGGACCCAGAGCACATTCACAGGGAACGCGTGGGCAAGGAAGCAGCAGACCTCACTGACTTCCTCTGGCAGCAGGGAGCACCAACACGTTGATTAGACGGAAATCAAAAGAAAAGATCTGCTGATGCCCTCCCTGTGCTCAACACATACCTTGCTCCCACGGCTGGGAAAGAACAAGCAGGAGGAACAAAGCAGGGCTATTCAGTGGAAAAAAAACTTCTGATAAGGAATTAGAAAACCTGAGTTTTGGTCTCATATCTACTTTTAATGTTTGGGTGCCCCTGAAAAAGTCACTTAAGCTCTCTGTGCATCTGGCAAACAGGAGCAATAACACAGTTCTGGGATGTGAGGAGGATAAAAAATGGATTTATAACCTTAAAAAAAAACTGTATAAGTACAAGCCATGCAATGCTGACTGCTCTCATCCTCCGGCATCAGGAATGCATGCCCAGCATTTACAATCCCACTGTGGTGCCCCCGCCCCGCCACCCAGACTCCAGGACAACCAGTCACAGCACGCACACCTCCTGCTACTTACTGGCCGTCCTAGTATATCAATCTGCCTCTCTAGATCCTCCAGCAGGGTCACCACCTCCTCTCCACTCTCCAGCTGATGTTCCTTCACCAGGGCCTGCAGCTCTGTGGGCAGAATGCTCAGGAACTGCTCCAGCACCAACATCTCCAGGATCTGCTCCTTGCTGTTTAAATCTGGCCTCAGCCACTGGTGGCAAAGTGCCCGGAGTTGGATCAGAGCTTCTCGGGGTCCTTGTGTCTCCTGGTAGCACAGCTTCCTGAATCGCAGGCGGAACAGCTCTTGGTCAGGAAAGTTGTGTTCATGTTGACTGGATTCCTGGTCCCAACCATGATCTTCCTCAACCTTGACAATTACAAGGTCCTCTTCAGGAGTCTGGTTGGGGGGGGATGGGACTAAAGACTTCCTTGATTCTGCAGCCATGTAGGGCTGGAAAAGCTCAGATTTGTTCCCACCACCTGCTTTATCTTCAGAGAAGAACCTCCTGAGGACCTCGTCTTTAAAAGGCTTCTCTAGCACTCCATCTGAAGATAAATAGAAAAATGCCCTCGGTGAGGATTAAAAAACTAATAAAGGATTGCTTTAGAAAGAGAAAATGACAGTGTTAAGGGAAGTCAAAGATTGTGGTGATTTACTAAGATATCTTAACAAGCTCCCTACCCCAACATGAACTTCAGAGCTCGGGAGTGTAAGTGACCTTCTCCACTCTTGCAGAAGTAACTCCTTACCTCCACAGCCTTTTGTCATGCCCACCATCTGGTGAATAACCTCTCCTTTCTGCTTTCTCTCCTTGGGGATGTGAAACATGGGTACACAAAGTCAGGAAACCAGGTAGACTGCATCTAATAGAAGTTCTGGCCCTCAGAGCAGCCAACTTCTTTCAGCATTTGCCACACCAGCTGTATTGTTTCTACACACTTCAGCTCTCAACCTGTTCCTCACTTTCAACAGATGAGACTAATTTCCAACTAATTTAGCTCAAGGTACTATCAAGGACTGTCCTCCTCCTCCTGACATTCATTACCCTGCCTGGACTTCTGCCTTCCCTCTGATCTCAAGGCTAACTTCTAATGTGGGCCTTCTCTGGACCTTTTTCTCTTTGGAACACTGGTCCTGCATCTCCAAGGAACCTGATGCCCCATCACCACCCACAACCCCAAAGTCAGGTCCCAAACACTAATGACCTTCCAGAATGTTTTATAAATAAAGTCATACAGTAGGAAACCTTTGGAGTCTGACTTCTTTCACTCAGCATAATACATCTGAGATCATCATGTTGCTGCACGTTATCCGTAGTTTATTGCCAAGCGTGTGCGTTTGTTTACCCACTCCCCAGTTAAGACATCTCAGCTGATTCTCATTTTTGATAAATTAAAGCCACTATGAACATCTGCATGAGCTTTGGTGTGAACATAATCACTTCACCTGGGTAAAAATCCAGAAGTAAAACTTCTAGGATGTATGAAAAGTGTACATGTAGTTTTTATCCTAACCCAGGACTCTCTGGTCCACAGGCCAGGGCTCCAACCGCTGAGCTAAGCCAGTCAGGGCGACATGTAGCTTTATATGAAACTGCCAAACTGTTTTCCAAAGAAACTACAACACTTTGCATTCCTCTATCAACATGTGAGAATTTCAGCTACTCCCTATCTTAACCAACATTTGATACTGGTTTTTAAAAAAATTTAGATATTCTAATAGGTATGTATGTAGTGGGATCTCATTATGGTTTTGTTTTTTTTATCCTCACCTGAGGACATTTTCCCCTTTTTTTTTGTTCAGAGTTGGGGGGGGGGGGGACATCGACGTGAATGGGACACATCGAGGGGCTGCCACCTGCACGACGCAACCAGGGCCGGGGACAAACTGCAACCGAGGTACATTCCCTTAGCAGGAACTGAACCCAGGTCTCTCTGGACCGCAGGCTGACACTCTAACCACTGAACCAAACCAGCCAGGGCTCACTATGGTTTTAATTGCATTTCCCTACTGACTAATAATGTTGGGCACCCTTTCATATACTTATTTGCCATCTATATATATTCTTTGGTGAAATATTTGTTTAAAACTTTTGCCTGTGTTTAAAATTAGGATTGTTTATTTTTTAAATTCTGCTGCAGAGCTTTTTACTCTAGCTCCATGGCTCTCAAGTGGGAGCAATTTTGCCTCCCTGACCAAGGGACATTTGGCAATGTCTGGAAACATCTTTGGTTGTCACAACTAAGGGGAAGGGGTTTTACTAGTATCTGATGGGTATAGGTCAGAGATGCTTTAAATATCCTATAATGCAAAACAAAGCCCCCAAAACAAAGTGTCAATGCCAAGGGTGATAAATCCTGGTCCAGCTGAAACCATTCAACTCTTACTTGAACATCTCAGCTTAACTATCAACTTTCTTCATTTTCACGAGGCCCCTCTGTTGTCCCCAACCTGTACCTTTCTCTGTACCAAGCAGATTAAGGTGCTCATTCTTGCCCAGATATTTTTGACATGGATTTATCACATTGTGTAGAGTACTAGAAATGGCCACGGTGTTCTTACAAATGCTTTTTAGTAACAATGAACTTTTTCTTTTCTTGGTACGTGCCCCCAATGGGAACCAAACCCAGGACTCTCTGGTCCGCAGGCCGATGCTCCAACCGCTGAGCCAAACTGGCCAGGGCAACTTTTCTTTTCTTAAGCAGGAAATTAAATTACATGTTTGTTTGCCAGAAAGATCATAATAGCAGCACAGTAAACAATAGACTGGAGAACATAACTGAAGGAAGAATATCCAAAAGCATCTGGCAAGAGATGCCAACATCAACATAGAACCATAGACCTATAGTCCACAAAGGGAGAGAAGAGACAAGACTCAGAAGGAAAATCAGATTACATACAGTTCCTGACACAAGTCTTCAGAGCAGTGTCTCCATCTTTCAGGGTTTTGTGTGTGTGTGTGTGTGTGGTGGGGTGGGGCGAGGTTGGTTTAGTCTTTACATTCTCATAAAAACATACTTCTCCCAAGAAAAAAAGCCCACAGGCATAAAATTGTGCATCCAATTTCAGCAAAGTTCAAAGACTTGACACTCATCTATTAACTCTAGGAAGATTAAGAACCCCCACTTAGAATAGGAAGATAATTTGAAAATTATCTCTAAAATGATAAGGCTGGGAACAATAGTTTGGGGAGTATATTACAGATAGGAAGAACCAAGGAAGGAGAAATAAAGTTATATCCGGTGATTAACATCAGAGTTTATTCATGGATGATGACTTTACAGAGAAGAGGGGGTATTTCCTGGAATAGTGAGATTTGAGGGAAGAGTGAATTTGGACAGGAGGTTGAGATTTTTTGGAGGGTTTGAGACAAGGGATGAGCAATTTTGTTTTGAATAGACAATTAACAGCCATGGTCTTAAAATAATTTATTTTAAAAATCTATTAAAACTTAAAATTTATTAAAGTTTCTTAAAATAGCCACTTATAGTTAAAAAACTGAAAAGTTTATTACCATGGGACATGCATTCCAAACTCTGTTTAGAATGTGATACTGCAGAGTCTTAGTTTGACCCGGTTTTCTCTCGAATTTTCTTACAGCTAAGGCTCACCTTTACTGAACAATGCCGGCTCACTTTATTGATTTAGGAAGTTAGATGAGCCAACCTGTAAGGCTTCTGGCCTCAAACTCTGTAATTCTGAGAACTACCGAAGGCACAACTCAGCTTTTAACAGCATTATTTTTTCAATAGGTAAGAAAGGTTTTCTTCTTTCAGACGAATTAAGTCTAATTTTGGATGCCTGGGCCCTGAAAATTAAACAAAACAAGAAAGACTTTCTCCAGGTTTGTATCAAGAAAAGGAGGGTGAAGCAAACACTGCGCTCTGCAGTATCGCGGGGCGCACAGGCTGGATGCTTGGGCACCCACATTCACACTTGGCCGCAGAATTCGAGGTGTCTGCATCGCTAAAACGGTGACTGCTGCAGGAATATGGTTAGTAACCAAACGACAGGAAGCTGGGCTGCGTTCAGAGGCGGCGGCGCGGTCCCCGCTGCCGGGCAAGTTCCTCCAAGTGACCCGAGTTGTGGGAACAGGGCACCCGCTTCAGCGAGCTCTTCTAACAGACGGAGGAATTCTGAATAGGGCCGAACTCTACAGGGCCCCGAGGTTGTCAAAGGTGTTTCTTCTTGTACAATTTCCAGGCAACACCACCATTTTTTGAATACACTGCAAAGAGCAGAATAACTTAACAGCAAAAATCTGTTCCAAAGCCCACTGGGGCTTCTAAAAGCAAAATATATCCTAAAAAAATGAAAATGTCACTGTAACGGGAATGCGAAATTGCTGCGTGAACGCAATTCACTTGGTGGGAACAGCTGCAAAAAGACAACGTGTGG